CTGGTTCCCACATCTGATCACATAAATTTGCTTCGTTCTTTTACAATTCAGATCATTAATTTGATGGGCGATTTTATTTGACTGGTTTTACAAATACGTATAACAAGGGATGTTGATTAATGCACATCTACCTCTTGATGCGGTTAATAAAACTAGAGTTGCAAGATACTAAGGCTTGAGAGTCACTTTCTGTCTGAAAGTTTTATAAGACCTTCAGGGTTGAAGTATGTGGCTGGAGGCACTTTTATTGACCTTATTAGTTTGTCTACTGAGACCAGAAAACAAAAACAGTCCATTTCTTCTCTCCTAGGTTTTGTCTGTAGTGCCTATAATTGTACTGGTGTTCTGTAATTTCTCGCAGTTTCTCAGTGCTAGCTAGGACATAACATTCCTTCTCATCAATAAAGATTGGTTTTCTTAACAACAAAACAGCTGTCAGACCAATTTTTGGCAGATGATTTGTAAGCATCATTTTATTTCCACAGATACTATATTTATATGTAGTTTCTGCTCTGTAATCATAGACTTTGCAACAATTCAATAATTTTTTTTTCTATGTGGTATTTCTACATTCATGCTCATCATATTTTTCTCCTGGTTAATGTTTTGCTAAATGAAGGGCATTTTTTAGGTTTTATTTATTATTATTATTATTTTAAATTGAATGACTGTGGGATACAGTTACAAAGCTTTCATGACTGAGTTTCAGTCATATAATGTTCCAAAATCCATCCCGCCACCAGTGTACATTTCTTACCACCAGTATCCCCCGTATCTCTCCTGCCACCCTCTCTCCCCGAGCCTGCCTCTGTGGCAGGCACTTTCCTTCTTTCTCTCTGCCTCTGTCTCTGTCTCTGTCTCCCCTCTGCCTTTCCCTCCCTCTCTCCCTCTCTTTTTCTCTCCGTCTCTGTCTCTTTCTTTCTCTCTCTGTCTCTCTCTGTCTCTGTCTCTGTCTCTGTCTCTGTCTGTCTCTCTCTCTCTCTCTCCTTTTGGGCATCATGGTTTGCAATACAGATACTGAGAGGGCATCATGTTTGGTCCTTTACCCACTTTCAGCACACATCTGCCATCCAGAGTGATCCCTTCCAACCATCATTGTCATAATGGGCCCTTCTCTATCCCAGCTAAAGAGGGCGTATGTTAAGTTACATGATCCTGGGAAGTGCAGAGTTAGTAAGGGATTTTTTATGATATTTATTTTATTTTTTAATTATGGTGTAGGTGACATGCTTGCAATAATGTTAAATGTCTAAAGACATTTAACCCAGCGCTGAAGTACCCACAAAGTTCTACCCCTATCTTTATGTTACTTCTTGTCTGATCTATAATTGTCTCCACTTTCTCTCCCCTTCTTGTAATTAGTTTTGTGGTCCAAGGTCAAAAGTTTGTTATTGTTCTATACCATCCATTCCCTTGCTTTATTTCTCTATATTCCACAGATGAGTGAGATCATTTGGTATTCATTGGTTCTTTTCCCCCTGACTTTCTTTGCTTATGTGATAACTTCCTGTATCATCCATGTTTTGAATAATATTTACTTATCATTGTGCTCTTTTGAATAGGATAATTCTAGAATTGTTTTTTATAGAAAAGGCTAATCAGTTTATGCACCTTTAACAGTACCACAAAGCTTTCATTTTCCTGATTTATTAACATGCAATCTTAAGATTTTAAATGATTTTTCTTGAATTTTGAGATTGAAAGAATTTTTAGTTGAAACCTCATCTTACTTGAAGAATATTTCATTATAATCTAATATAGGTATATTCCCTTATGTTGAATTTTAGGGACAGGGCAAGAAAAAAATAGAAAGGATTTTCTCATTTGTCCATTAAAAATATAACTTCAGTCTTACCTGAGTTGATTCATTCTTTCTTAGGTAAATTCTTGCTTGCTGACCTTAGACTAAGTTTTCACAAAACTTGAATGAACTTAGCTGCTTTTGACTGTGAGTCTTGGAATTTCTGGTCCTTGGTACAAATGGACAGAGAACTGTGGGTGATAAGCATGTCCTGTACCCCTTAACTCTACTACTTTAATATTACTAGTTAAGAGAATATGAATTTACTGAGACTTTTTGATTACTTTTCTAGAAATTCAAACATATGATCTGTGGTTTGTAGTATTTTTTAGGCAACTTAAAAAACACCCGTCAGTGTTAAGATGGAAGAGCTTGCTCTCACTTATTATAACAAATAACAGCACCAGAAAGAGAAATGGTGGACTCCTGAGATGTGTAATATGTTATAAAATTTATAATTGTGATTGCTCCTAGTATAAAATATATTCTGTACAGGATGTGCATTGACATGCTTTCAGAGTCATTTAAACTATATCATAACGTGAGATCTAGACTTTTCCTGCTTAGCAAATATATTTAAATCTAGGAACAATATTTTTTATTAAAAATTTATATTTGGGGAGTTATATTAACATATAGACATCATAGTTCCAATCTGAAAGATATTCAATTCAAATTATGTTCAAATTAATAACATTTCACTTGTAAAAAATATGTAACAGCTATGTGCTCTCTGGGGTACTATTGTGCAGGAGTGATAGAGCAGTGGATAAGGTGCTTGCCTTGTCTGCAGTGAACCCTGATTCCATATTTAGACCACATATGGTTCCCACACCCTACCATGAGTGATCCCTGAACCCAGAGCCAAGAATAATCATTGAGAACAGCCAGGTGTGGACTCCAAACTAAACCAAACCAAAACAGAATTAAACCACTCTTATTAAACATTGGATTACTTCAGATTACTTTTTTCCACCTCATTTTTTGCAGTTATAAATCAAAGAACGACAATTAATTTTCCTTCTTGTCATAAAATTTGCTTATAAATGGATGTACATATAATAGTTGGAAATGATCACTCTGGAAAAGAACTGTGTGTTGAAAATAGGTAAAGGGTTATACGTGATAACCTTTCAGTATTTTTATTGCAAACCATAATACCTAAAATGATAGAGATTGAGAGAAAGGAGAGAGAGAGAGAAAGAGAGAATGAGAGAACAGAAATACAGAGAGACAAAGACAGAGATACAGAGAGAGTGAAGAAAAGTGCCTGCCATAGAGGTAGATGGATTGGGGGGATCTGGAGGGAAACTAGGGACCTTGGTTGAGGGACATGTGCACTGGTGAAGGGATGAGTATTGGAACACTATATGACTGAAACCGAATCATGAACAATTTTGTAATTGTCTATCTCACTGTGATTCAATTAAAAATGATAATAATAAAATACTAAAATTAAAGTAACCATTGTTACCTTTATAGATACATAAAAAGTCATTTTATAGGCATTCATATTTCTTTGTAGTGATTATTCCTAGTATAGCCTCAATCTCTTATATTAGTTATAATCTTTACTTCTTACAGGTACAGAGACCTCTGAGAAGCGGGTCGCTGAAAGTAGGCCTGAGCAGATGCACTCTGCAAACCCGAAGAGACACAGTTTGGGTTGACCTGCACACAAGGGTAGGTATTTGTAAATGATTATATACATCCATTTCACCCCTGTTGAGGTAGAAAAATATTAATATGGATAGTATGGAAACACATCTTACCCACCAATTACCCACCTTATACCCCTAACCACCTATGAGCTTATAGCTCCTCTTTAGGTACACACACTTATACATATGATAGGTTTTGGCATTTTTGTATTCTCTTTTAAAAGTAAATTTTAACTTTTAAAATGTTGTTCAAATAAATAAACATTTCTCAATTTAATATCAATCCAAATAATTATTTTTGGAAATTCTTGAATTTAAATTTTAAGTAAATATATGTTTACTGGTTTTCATAAATCAATAAAAAGAGGAGGACTGTTAAATTCTTGAGAATTGATGGTGTAATTTACTAATTTCCACTGGAAGTAGAAACATACTGGAACTTATACCTATATATTTGTTCAGAAAATACTGAACATTGACACAGTTGAAAAACTTACTAAGTTTTAGGGAAGCTAAAGTTTATCACTGGAATTTAGTTATTTTATGTTTATATTATGCTATTTTCTGTGGTGCTAGTCTAGTCAAATTATGAATGATGCTAAGGGCGAAAGAAAGTCTAAGCTTTGTTTTTCTTTGTATAGTGACTTGTCTCATTGAGGAATTTCTTTTAAATTCTCTATGTTCTTTAGAGTAAGGAGGAAAAAGTCATGAACCCACAGCCCTTGTTTTTCTACTCTGGAGATCATAAAGCACCAGACAAGCCAGAAGCAATCCTGCTCTGCCCATTCCAACCTATGCTTCGAGTCCTTCGCACAAATGTTAGAAGAATTGCACAAACTACAGTGAGCTTTTTCACAAATCCTTGCCAGGATTCTAGTAAAAGTCTGTATAAAAAATGTAAGATGATAGTACAGCGGGTAGGGCATTTGCTTCGCATACAGCAGATCTGGGTTTGATCCTCAGCATTCCATATGGTCCCCTGAGCACCACCAGGAGTGATTCCTGAGTGCAGAGGCAGGAGTAACCCCTGAGCATTGCCAGGTGTGACTTAAAAAGACAAAAACAAACCAAAAAATGGTGGCTAGGTGTCAGAGAGATAGCACATCAGTTTGTGCACTTGTGACTACCATATGGTCTGTTGGGCTCTCCCCAGGAGTGCTCTGCAACATTCTGAGATGATGAAGCCATGAACACCTTCAGGTCTACCCCCCGAAAAAACAAACAGAAAAATGAACTCACCCAGAAGTACAACGAACTCACCCAGAAGTGCAATACCCAAAAGGAAACAAACAGAGGGAGAGTCTGAAAATGGTATTGTGGCCAAAGTGTCCCCAGGATCTAAAAAAGAATCTGTTCTGCCTTAGCCTAGCAGGTGGTTGGCAATGAGGTTTTGGGTGCTCATGACTTCATTGTCCCTATCACAGAGCACCTCCAAGTCACTTGCATGTTATTTTTACCTTCTATGGTGCTTGAAACTTTTAAAAACTAATAGCTTAGGTAATAGATTTCCAATTAACAGTATTCAAGAATCTTATATTAAAAATAGGGAATGCTTCATGAGTTTGCATGTCATCTTTGGGCAGGGGTTAGGCTAATCTCAGTATTGTTACAGTTTTAGCATGTGAGCTACCAAAATGAGCACTGATATTTAAATATTTATATGTGTTATTCTTGGGCATGTTTTTCTTTTTCTTTTTTCTTTTTTTTTTTTTTTGGCTTTTTGTGTCACACCCAGCAATGCACATGGGTTACTCCTGGCTTTGCACTCAGGAATTACTCCTGGCGGTGCTCAGGGGACCTAATGGGATGCTGGGAATCGAACCCGGGTCAGCTGTGTGCAAGACAAATGCCCTACCCGCTGTACTATTGCTCCAGCTTCATGAGCATGTTATTAAAATGCCCATCTAATGTGAACCTATAACCCAGAAGGGTTTTTGAGTCATTGCATCAGGAAAGTTTCCCAAGCAGTGATTTCCAACCTGGAATGGGATCATTGCAAGGGATCCATCAGCACATACAAACACCAAATACTGACTGTGAATTAAGCATTGTTTTACAAATATTTTAAGTTGTTGTGATGAATAAAATACAAACTCAAGTTAGAAGCTTACTGAATTTGTTGTCCTTTTTTGGAGACTGTTGTTTGCCACCCTGTGGATACTAAAAGTTGATGTAACCTGACAGGAGTAAAGGAAAAGATAGTGCTATGAATATCTTTTACAAAATGATCATTTCTAGCTCTTCGTTTTTATTTTAAAATGATGTGCATGTATTGCCATAGAGGATTTTTGTTTGTTTTGGAGTGGGGATGGCACTCTTGAGAGTACTCAGGACTTAATCTTGGGTCTGTGCTCAGGGATCACTCTGACAGAACTCAGAGGACTCTACGGGGCACTGGGGATCCAACTCAGGTCTCGGGCTTGCATGACAATGCCTTGCCCACTGGACTATTGCTCTGGACCTCACCATCTAAGTTTAAGTTGGATAACATGATGGTTTTATATACTGTGAAACGATTGCCACAGTATGTTTAGCTAATGTATTTCTCAAATATGAATAATAAAAAAGAAAAATATTTCTTCTTGTGATAAGAACTCTGAATTCACTCTCTTAACATCTTTCTGTATATTAAAGAGCAACATTAACTGTGGCATCTTCACACATGTTAAAGAAATGTCATTGGGGATTGGAAGGGTACTATGAGTTAACCTGTATTTCTTTCCTTGTCACACACAATGAAGTCAGGGACAGGAGTATGCTCATTGAATGGCTACTCTGAAAACATGGAAGCAGAGTGGGGTGGGGTGGGGGAAGAGGAGGAAGTGACTTTTTTTTTTTCCGGAAAATTTCTTGCAAAGAGAAATCGTCTGGGGAAAAGAGTTAGCCCTAGCCTGGTTGTCTTTGAAGTTGAAGAGGTTTCAACTTCACATTCCTGGCTCCTACTCTGTCTTGGAAAGAATTAGAAACTGAAAGTGTGATTTCTGGAGTGGAGTGTAAAGAACCAGAGTAGGTTTGGAGTAGGATTTGCTATTCTTTAAGAATTTTCTGGGAAAAGTTTCTCTATGTAGGTAGGGAACACAATAGCAATGGTACAAAATCCCTAGTTAAAGTAGAAAACAAAGAAAACAAAACAAAAAAAACAAAGACAAGTAGGGGAGAAAAAACCCATCAGGAAATGACAGCTTGAAAAGATGGAAAGAAATTAATTGTGTTGAATAAATAATTAGGGCACAAAGTACTAACTTATGAAGATTTATGCTAATAGTCATATGGAGGAAATTAAAATACCCATGGGATATTTGCAAATAGCACTACTTTTAAATAGTCTTGTCTTCATAATTCAGTTTCATAATCCTTTAAGGGAATTCTGCATTTGTGTTTATAATTCACTCCTGTTCATAATCAATTTCTATGGCATTATTCTAATTTTTTCAATTCAGGCTTTCCTATATTTACTGACTATTCAGAAACAAATATCCTCACCTGAAGGATATTTGTGGTCTCAGCAAGTTTTCCCTTGTGAGATTTCTACCAGACTTTAATCTTCAGTGTAATCTATAGGTCAGCTATGTTCTCTGTATAATCCAGGTTGAAGTTGAATTCAAGTGGATACTTATTTGTTTTAAGTGAAAGAGAAAATTCTTCAGAAATGTTGACTCCTTCACCATATATATATGTGGTCTTTACATTTGTAGAGCTTTGATATCCAGAGAAAGCATTTTTGAATTGTGGATAATTGACTCAAATTAAACTCAGAAATGCTAGGCAAACATTTAAATGTATGCAATATTATAACTAATGAGGCAGTTAATTTCCATGCACTATCTTCTGTTTATAATAGCTATAAAGATGTAATTTTGTTTAGAAGTTTTATGTCTTGTTTGGCTTGGAGTATATAAATTATATATTTAAAAAATTACCTACATAATGTTAAAACCAAATTTCTTTGCCTTATTATTGTATTAATAGAATGTGTATGTTTAATATGCAATTTCATCTAAAACATAAGCAAAGAAAAATAATTATTTGGAGAAATACATTTAATTTTCTTTCTTTCTTTTTTTTTTTTTTTGCCTTTTTGGGTCATACCCAGCAATGCACAGGGGTTACTCCTGGCTCTGCACTCAGGAATTACTCCTGGCGGTGCTTGGGGGACCATCTGGGAATCGAACCCAGGTCGGTCGAGTGCAAGGCAAATGTCCTACCTGCTGTGCTATTGCTCCAGCCCCTATATATATATAATTTTTCAACTGAAAAATTTACCTTTCAATTTCTGTGTGTGTGAGAGAGAGGATATTGAGAGCTACAAATGTGGATTGGGGAGAAGTTGATTTACTTTTTAAATTAAAAATTTAAATAATTATATATAGATAAGAAGTTACAAAGAAATATGCAGGAAGGTTCTGGCAGGATGCCTGATGCATATATATATATATATATATACATATATATATATATATATTTGACTCTTCCCTTCCTCTTCCTTTCAATTAAATGTCAATAAAGTGAAATGGAAGCCTTGAAGAAGGATCAGAGGGCCAGAATAGTAGGACTCACAAGAAGAGGAAGTGGAAGAGGCTGGAGAAAACCTTAGAACCAACCTACTGTATTGGCCTGTGTCTACTGCAGAAACTGTGTTTTGATCCAGGTCCATACCTGCTGCTTTTAAATTACTCTTCTCTTTGCACCCCTTTGAAAGACCTGAGCTGCAGAACCCACCAATCAGGACTCAGCCACAGCTGTGAGACCAGAGAACCGGAAGTGATTGAAAAAGCACAGACAGCAGAACTGACCTCGAAAAGAGGGAGCTGCAGATCTCGGTTCTCCCTTCTCCAGAGGCTTCTCTGCAGATCTACAGGCCAGCAAATATGATAATTCAGAAGAAGCAAATTAATTTTTAAAATAAAGACAGCTTACCAAAATTGAAATAGAGAAACAGAAAAACTAAATTTGCTGATTACAAGTATGAAACATAAAAAGTAACACAAAAACATTTTTCACCAAATAAAAGGAATGGATTACATGACTTTGTCAGTGAATTTTACAAAACCATGGAAGAGCAACTTAAACTTATTTGACTGAGACTCATTCCCCAAAAATAAATCAGTGGAAGGAATACTCCCAGATACAATTTTTTGCTGAGGCCAATATCACTTGGGTACGGAAATCAGACACGGTTAGGAGACAAAATAAAAACAAAACCACAGACAAATATCTTTGATTAACATGCATGCAAAAATTCTTAACAAAATTCAAGAACATAGACTTAAGCAATACATCAAAAGGATCACTGTAGGATAACATTGGTTTGTCTTTTCTGCCTTGCTGCAAGGAGCTTAGGTTTATTGGGTTACTCCCATCACAGTGCTGCCATTCCTCTGTGTTTATTTGTAACTTCTTTCTTTGTGCCCTATTGACTTGTAGATACTGTTTTTCTCTTTACCTTAAATCCTTTGCATAGTTAATTCAGAGCAATGTCCTTTTTGTATGGGCACAGGAAGACAGCAAATGCTATGTTTTTGTAACATGGGAGTTAATTGATTCTCAATGATATTTACCTCCTGGGCATCTGTTCTGACTTAAGCCTCAGTTGCCCTTCCTAGCACCCCAAAAGCAAGGTCCCGATGAGGGACTGGTGAGCTGTGTGCTACCCTGGCATCAAAATGGGCCTGGCCAAAGTGCCATAATGCTTGACTATAAGTTAAGAGCTTGGTCATGGACAAATGCTGTCATGATCTAAAAAGCAATAACTAGATTTGGACCCTGCTAGGGTTAGGAATGATTAATCCGGCCTGAGCACTGTATTCTGAATCTGTGGCAAGCTGTTCCCAGGAGAGCTGCCCTACAAGCCTCAAAGTATCTTTTACTGTGTCCACACAAAAATAACTAATATTAATAAAAGCACTGTAAGCACTGTGCTCCTGCTGTTCATCAATTTGCTCGAGCCAGCACCAGTAACATCTCCATTGTGAGACTTCTTGTTACTGTTTTTGTCATATTGAATATGCCACAGTGAACTTGCCAGGCTCTACTGTGCTTGGTAGCTTGCCGGGCTCTCCGAGAGGGGCGGAGGAATCGAACCCCGGTCTGCCATGTGCAAAGAAAATGCCCTACCCGCTGTGCTATGGCTCCAGCACAACTAATATTAAGACGTTAATTAAGATGTTAGGTGTTTCTGCCCTTGAACCTGATGGACAGTCAGGAAGGGCTTTCTTGTGTTGATTTTGCTAGAGGATTGAGTGTAGTGTTGGCCCAGAGTGCTAGGAGTAGAGAGAGAGGAAAGTGTGAAAGTGTTGGAAAAGAGCAGGGAGCAAGATGGAGCTTGGAGAGATGAGCGGAAGAGACAGGAGATTGGGAATGAGGGGCAGTGTGAGGCTAGAATGGGGTGCTCAGAGAGACTGGAACAGGCATGTGGGGAGAATAGAATAAACAGCAACTTAATCAACCAACCGGCTTGCTCCACGTTTCCTTCTCTGTCTGCCCCATGGCCCGGGGCCACTCCCAACCCAGGCGGTAGGGGAGAGCCACAGGGGCTTCCCTTGCTGAGCTGACCGGGAGATTATACAAATCACATCATGAAAAAAGTGTTTTTTTTTTTTTTTCTGGGCTCATCAGGATGTTTCAACATCCACAAGTCAATGT